CGCAAATACTCCTACTCCATGGCAACCAAGAGCCAACTTCGTCTCCGCATCACCATACAACGTCAATCCTTGGCTCCTTGACAGTGGAGCCACTCATCATTTGACATCAGACCTAAACAATCTTGCGCTTCACCAACCTTATCATGGAGGAGAAGAGCTTGCCATTGCAGATGGATCCACCATACCGATCACACATACGGGTTTCATATCCTTTCCTACTTCATCTAAACCTTTGAAACTTGATGATGTCTTATGTGTACCAAATGCTAGCAAGAACTTGATCTCTGTGCATCGTCTTTGCAATACTAATAAAGTCTCCGTTGAATTCTTTCCTGCTCACTTTCAGGTGAAGGATCTCAGCTCGGGGGTGAAGCTACTCCAAGGTCAAACGAAGGGTGATTTGTACGAGTGGCCCAAGCCAAACCTCCACCCATCAGCCCACGCCTCATACCCTGATACTAAAGCACCTATGGATAGATGGCATAATCGGCTTGGCCACCCCTCCTTAGCTACTCTTAAGTCTATTGTTTCAAAGTTTTCATTACCTTACCTAAACACTTCATCTACTATTTATCCTTGCAATGAATGTCTTCTTAATAAAACTCATCAGTTACCTTTTCAACAAAGTACCATCCATTCCACTCAACCTCTCCAATATATTTTCAGCGATGTGTGGCAATGCCCTGTCGCCTCAACCCAAAACCACAAATACTATCTTCTCTTTCTTGACCATTTTACCCGATATACATGGATCTTTCCTCTTACCGCAAAATCTCAAGTAAAAGCCATCTTCACTCATTTCAAACCACTAGTCGAAACCAGATTTCAAACCAAAATACAAAACCTCTACTCTGATAATGGAGGTGAGTATTTAGCCTTGCGATCCTATCTTGCCACCCATGGTATTTCTCATCTTACCACTCCACCCCACACACCCCAGCACAATGGCCTGTCTGAGAGAAAACATAGACATATAGTGGAAACAGGCTTGTCACTTCTGTCCACAGCAAAAATGCCCCTCACCTTTTGGCCACAAGCTTTCACTACAGCCGTTTACCTCATAAACCGCCTCATAACCCCAGTCCTAAACCATCAATCTCCATACCAGAAACTTTTCCACCAAACGCCAAACTACAACAAACTCAGAACGTTTGGGTGCCTTTGCTACCCCTGGCTAAGACCTTATGCTCCCAACAAGCTTGAAAACCGCTCCACCCCATGTGTATTCATTGGATACTCACTCTCACAAAGTGCATATTTATGTTTAGATCCAACCACCGATCGTGTCTACACCTCTAGGCATGTGCGGTTTAATGAAACACACTTTCCTTACCAAAACCTTACCACCCAAGTCACCAACTCCCAAGCTGAATCCTCTCCTACCACGACCTTTTACCAACCACACACCACCATCCCTGTCCATTCACCACTCGTGCAATCGCCATCGCAGACCGTGGAGAGCACACAACCGAGTTCTGAAACTTTGCCTCAAAGTTCAGCGTCAGCAAACAACCAGGAGACAACGGCTACAACTAATGCAACGACATCACCTGCAACGTCAAACCAACACCAGACTGATCCTGCGCCTACAACAGTACCAGTTGCAGCAGCACAACCACGACACTCAATGACGACGAGATCAAGAAACAACATTGTCAAACCGGTCAGTCGATACAATCTCATGGTGCAACTTCAGGATGATCCTCACTGGATTCCAACAACGTGGCAGCAAGCCATGAAACACCCTAAGTGGAGAGCAGCAATGCTTGCGGAATTCAACTCTCAGATCAAAAATCACACTTGGGATTTGGAAACTGCAGGTGCAGGAATGAATATCGTGGGCTGTCATTGGATCTTCACTATCAAGTATCATCCCAATGGAAACATTGAACGCTACAAAGCTCGCTTGGTGGCCAAAGGGTATCATCAACAACCAGGGATTGACTATACTGATACGTTTAGTCCAGTCATAAAACCAACAACGATTCGCATCGTTCTTGGACTAGCAGTGAATCACTCCTGGCCGGTGAGACAGATTGATGTAAACACCGCATTCTTACAAGGTCATCTAAAGGATGAGGTTTTCATTTGTCAACCACCAGGGTTCGTAGATCCTGAGAACCCAACGAAAGTTTGTCGTCTACGGAAGGCACTCTACGGCTTAAAACAAGCCCCACGGGCCTGGTATTCTGAACTTCACAAGTTTCTACTCGCACAAGGATTCCAGAATTCACTTGCCGATACTTCCCTCTTCATACTCAAACATGGTAACAGCTTTGTCTATCTATTGGTGTATGTGGATGATATTTTGGTAACAGGAAGCTCAGCACTACTTGTCCAGAGAGTCATTGATACCTTAGCCAAAAGATTCTCCATCAAAGATATGGGAAACTTGAGCTACTTCCTTGGAATTGAAGCGATCAGAACAAATACGGGAATGCATCTCATGCAACGCAAGTACATTACCGACTTGCTCACAAAGACGAAAATGCTGCACTCGAAACCAGTCTCCACACCAATGGCCTCTTCTCCAAAGCTCACGCTAACTTCTGGTTCACCTCTCTCCGACCCTCACGAGTATCGACGGATCGTAGGCAGTCTCCAATATCTGTCTCTCACACGCCCAGATATCTCGTACTCTGTCAACAGGCTATCTCAGTTCATGCATTCCCCTACAGACGATCACTGGCTAGCAGTCAAGCGGGTCTTGCGTTACTTGTCCGGAACATTAAGCCATGGAATCTATCTACAAAAACAGTCTCAATCAACGTTACATGGGTTCTCAGATGCAGATTGGGCAGGAGATTCAGATGACTACGTATCAACAAACGGCTACATTATCTACTTGGGTTCTCAACCGGTTTCTTGGGCATCACGCAAACAAAAGGGAGTGGCCCGTTCATCCACCGAAGCAGAATACAGAGGTGTGGCCAATACGTCAGCAGAAATACGATGGATTTGCTCACTACTCACTGAACTTGGCGTACAAATACCTTCTCCTCCAACCATCTACTGCGACAACATTGGAGCCACATATTTGTGTCAAAATCCGGTCTTCCACTCGAGAATGAAACACATTGCGATTGATTATCACTTCGTCCGAGGACAAATTCAAGCTGGCGCTCTGCGTGTGTCTCATGTGTCAACTCACGATCAATTAGCAGATGGGCTCACAAAACCTCTCCAACGACTACCCTTCTCGACGCTGTGCAACAAGATTGGTGTCCGAAAACTCCCACCATCTTGAGGGGGTGTATAGGACAATAGAGATAACTAGAAGGACCTCTATGTAAATACAATAGAATACTCTAAATACCCTACTCTCTACGATGTATATATACTCTTCTACATTGTTAATAAAGATTCATTCAGTCTTATATTACATAACTGTTAGTCAAATCTATGTAACATTTGGCTATTCATATAATACACCAACAACTATTCTTTCTAATTACATATATTTATATACTACAATACATTCTAGACTGAATAACTAGTAGAAGGTTTTATCACAATGAACAGTTGCAAGGCTGGTCTTTTGCTCAAGAACGGTGAAACACATGCCCATAGCTCTGAAAAATTTAGAAA